AACTAACAGAGCACTAGTGTAGCGCCTATGAAAGTTAGTTCGAACTAACGTCTGTTAGGTCGAACTAACTTTGTAGTGTAGACATACCCTAAGAGCTTATAACCTTATTCTAATTCAAGAGATATTGGGTAGATAAGATGGATTGAGTAGTGAGATGATATTGATCAGAATGGTGCATTTTGGGTTCAGTGAACTAGAAGACTAATTGTCAAGTTTTTTGTGGGTGACTTGGCAAAATAGAATTTGAAGGAGAAAAATAAGTTAGTCTTGTGCATGTTTAAGGGAAACTCATTGAAGTGTGAGGTGTAGCATAGAAGAAGGCATGTAGCCGTGTGTTAGAAAATGTGATAAGGGGGCAATGGAGGCTGGCAAAGCCAGCGCTGTGTGTTGGCCTTTTAATGCAGAATAATAGATAATAGTAGGGTGAAGAGCCATGAAGTAGCTTGAAAGTGAAAACAGTTCTCTGATGATAAAAGAAAATGGAGACTGCGGAGGGATGCAAAGAGCGGATGTGATCAAAGTAATAGGCTATGAATATACTTTTAGCAGTATTCTGGATGTATCCTATTGGCGCAAGATTTTATTATCAAGACCAGAGAAAAGATAGCCAGGGAATAAAAGGGAGGAAGTGTTTCTTTATGTATTACAAATGCTTATGCTTGGAGTGAGGTTGAGCTGGACATAGGAGACAGATTTGTTGAGAATATCTGGGTAAAGATAAAAGGGGTAAAAAAATTAAGGTGATATCATTTTAGGGGGGCTACTGCAAATCACCTAGCCAGGTAGAAGAGGTGGATGAGGCTTTTTTTTAACAACTAATAAAATCATCGAAAGCACAGGATTTGGTGGTGATTGGGGACTTCAACTATCCAGACATCTGTTGGGAAAGTAAGACAGCAGGGCATAAGTTATCCAAAAAGTTCTTGGACTGTATTGGGGAAAGTTACAGAGGGGAGGCTGTTCTAGATTTGATTTTAGCAAATAGGAAGAACTGGTTTCGAATTTGAAAGTGGAAACCAGCTTGAGTTAAAGTGATCTTGAAATGATGGGAGTTCATGATTGTAAAAAATGGTAGGAGGGAGAACAGCAAAGTAAGGACAATGGATTTCAAAAAAGCAGACTTGAACAAATTCAGGGAGTTGGTAGGTAAAGTCCCATGGGAAGTGGGACTAAGGAAAAACAATTGAAGACAGTTGACAGTTTTTCAAAGAGACATTATTTAGGGTGCAAGAACAAACTATTCCACTGTGTAGAAAAAATGGGAAGTATGATAAGAGACTGCTCTAGCTTAAAAAGGAAATCATGAAGGATCAAAAAAATTCTACAAAAAGTAGAAACTAGGTCACATTTCAAAGGATGAATATTAACAAGTAACATAGTGTGGCAAAGATCTGGCTGTATCTGTGGGTCCTGCGCTTCTGGTGGTTAGTGTTCAGCCACAAAGGCTCACTGTCCCACCACACGACCTCTTTTTACTAGAGGCAGCGTTCACAGCCTACTAAACCATGTCACAGGCTAGTCCATAATATGCAGGTGAAACCCCTCTATAGTCTTGGTCTCCCTATCCTGAGCCTGCCCACTACTCTGGGTTCCGGCCCAGGGACCTAAGGCAGCGGCAATGGATGGCATACTCCCTGTTTGGCAACTACTTCCCTGGGCCACTTCCCCAACAATTCCTCCCGGTACCTTTCCTCTGGTACCTGTTCCTCCAACACACTCTTATCTTGCAGCTCCCAGATCTCACCCAAACTCTTCTCACTCACAGCACTTTGGCTCTTTTCTTCCTTCTCATGCACCTCTCAACTGACAAAAGAGGAGTCCTTTTGCTTTCTTTTACCCATCTCAACTGGTTCTTGATTGGCCATTGGTTCTTGATTGGTCTGATTTGCCTGACTCCCTTGGCTCTGGAAGGCTTCTAATTAACTTCAAGTGTTCCAACTGACCTGATTGTCCAGACTGCTTCTGGAAAGTTCCTGCCAGTTCTAGGCCAGCCCCTGCCAGTTTACCCAAGGAACATAAACCTACTTAATCTAGGGCTCATATACTTTCCTTATACCACTCTTTTATATCCTTCTGACCTACCCTGTTACAATAGATCTGCCTACTAAACCATGTCACAGGCTAGTCCATAATATGCAGGTGAAACCCCTCTATAGTCTTGGTCTCCCTATCCTGAGCCTGCCCACTACTCTGGGTTCCGGCCCAGGGACCTAAGGCAGCGGCAATGGATGGCATACTCCCTGTTTGGCAACTACTTCCCTGGGCCACTTCCCCAACAATTCCTCCCGGTACCTTTCCTCTGGTACCTGTTCCTCCAACACACTCTTATCTTGCAGCTCCCAGATCTCACCCAAACTCTTCTCACTCACAGCACTTTGGCTCTTTTCTTCCTTCTCATGCACCTCTCAACTGACAAAAGAGGAGTCCTTTTGCTTTCTTTTACCCATCTCAACTGGTTCTTGATTGGCCATTGGTTCTTGATTGGTCTGATTTGCCTGACTCCCTTGGCTCTGGAAGGCTTCTAATTAACTTCAAGTGTTCCAACTGACCTGATTGTCCAGACTGCTTCTGGAAAGTTCCTGCCAGTTCTAGGCCAGCCCCTGCCAGTTTACCCAAGGAACATAAACCTACTTAATCTAGGGCTCATATACTTTCCTTATACCACTCTTTTATATCCTTCTGACCTACCCTGTTACAATAGATCTGTAGGAGCAAAATTAGAAAAGCCAAGGCAAAAAATGAGCTCAAACTAGCTAAAGACATAAAGGGTAACAAGAAAATGTTCTATAAATATATTAAAAACAAGAGGAAGACCAAGGTCAGGGTAGACCCATTCCTCAATGAAGTGGGAAAAACAGTTACAGAAGATGTGGAAATGGCAGAAGTGCTTAATGAGTTCTTTGTTTCAGTTTTCACTAAGGATGTTAAGTAACGGTTAATTGACTGGTTGAGTAATCGATGGAATTTCCATCGACTGCTCAACTAGTCGATAGGCACTTCTGCATTCCTCCTTTGAAACGTACAAGGGCCCCTGCTGGGGCTCTTACACGTTTCAAAGGAGGGATGCAGAACTCTGCATGTAGTCCAGGGCCAGTGAGAAATCGCACTGACTCCAGGCTGCACGCGGATGCCAGCTTTTAAATTTACAAGAGTGGCTCTTGTGCATTTCAAAGCAGCAGAACAACATGGAGCCCAGGTTCAGCGGGGAACCTCCCAGCTGATCCCAGGCTCCATGTGGCACTTCAGCGGAACTTGGGATCAACTGGGGACTCCCCAGCTGACTGCAGGTTCTGCACGGTATTTCCCCAGAACCCAGGGTCAGCTGGGAGTGCTGCAGAAAGGGATCTAGGAGTCATAGTGAACCACAAACTAAATATGAGTCAACAGTTTGACACTGTTGCTAAAAAAAAGCAAATCTTATTCTGGGATATATTAGCAGGAGTGGTTGTAGCAAGATGGGAGAAGTAATTCTTCCACTCTACTCCGCATTGATTAGGCCTCAATTGGAGTATTTTGTCCAATTATGAGCTCTAAATTAGTTGTCACTACTTGAGAGAGATCTTGGAGTCAGCATGGATATTTCTCTGAAAATACCCACTCAATATGCAGCTGAAGCCAAAAAGCAAACTGAATGTTGGGAATCATTAAGAAAGGGATACACAATAAAACTATATTGCCTCTGTTCAAATTCATTATATCCACATCTTGAATTCTGACTGCAGATATGGTTGCTTCATCTGAAAAAAGATATACTGGAATAGGAAGAAAGGGGAAACAAAAATAATGAGGGGTGTGGAACAGCTGCTTTATGAGGAAAGATTAATAAGACTAGGACTTCTCAGCTTAGAAAAGAGACCACCCAAGGGGGGATATAATAAGAGAGAGAGAAAATAAGGAAAAGTTATGGCAGCCCAGCATGGGGCACCCGGTGGGGCTGGAGCAGCCCTCTGCTGCAGCAGACCGTGGATGAGAGTACTGCTCACGGGGAACAGATTAACCAAACAGAACAATTAAAAGAAGTATTTTTTCACACAATACACACACAGTACTTAAACATGTGGACCTCCTTGTGAGAGGATGTTGTGAAGGGTTTTAAAAAATCTAGATAAATTCATGGAGGATATTAGCCAGGATGAGTAGGGATGGTGATTCTAGCCTCTGTTTGTCAGGGCTGGGGATAGTCAGCAGGGGATGCTTACATTTTCTGTTCATTCCCTCTGAGGTACATGGCATTGTCTACTGTTGGCAGACAGGATACAGGCCTAGATGGACCTTAGGTTTCACCCAGTATGGCTATTTTTATGTTCAGAATCAGCTGCTTTCAGGCTTACCTAAAAGGAGGCCCTTGCTACTGTTTTTCCCTCCTCAATCAATGAGAACTCTTGTCTTGCATCCTGAGGGAGTAAGTCCTTAAATTTTTGCATTGATTTCTACACATTAAAGTCATAGCAGCCTCCCAGAGCCTTCTGGCTTGCTATTGGAAGTTACAGATCTCCCATTGAGTAGGCCTTCCAGCCACACAGGTACAACTTCTTTGGATCCTTTGCCTTGAATGTGATTCTCAACTGACCCTGTCAATCTCTCTCCTGGGCAGCCACTGCCACCAGAGAACCTGGGAGAAGGTGCAAGTAGAGAAACGTGTACCTTTGGTTGTATTTCCTCTGCGTACATTTTGCTATGGGAGGGAGAAAAGGAGGAATCTACCACAGAACAGTAACTGAGTCTATAACATTATTTCTGAGAGGCAGACCTGCCTTAGAGGAGCCCGCTTCTGACAAAATATCTAGAAACTGGTGACCTATTTCCTTGACCGCTTTTGTCTGTATAGGTTGCTTAGGTTTGAGTCCACCCACTTTAAGTTTTCATAAGCCTCGTGGTCATCTTGGGGAAGGGACACTCCTGCTGCCAATATAGTTTGATCTGGGGAAGATGCTATGACTAGCTTGGGGACCTCCACCACTCTCTGCGTATCACCCGAGACCTGTGGGATTTCTCTGAGGCTCTGTGCAAGGCTTGATACCAGAGTCTAGTTTGGGGATCTCCGAGCAAGTTACCAAAAATTCTCTACTCTGAGGCCACCAAGTAAGAATAACTTGAGAGGCTGCCCTGGCCTGGGAGAAACCCCCACAGGTTTCAGAATAGCCACTGCCTGGAAACCTGTCTGCATGCGCATATGGTGGCCAAGCATTTGAGGGCATCCCTGTGCTTGGGGCAACAGCAGAGTAGAAATGGCTCTGAGCTGCACAGATGGCACCTGGAAGAATAGCACCTCGTTCAGGCTCTGATGAAGACTAAAAGCTGCAGAAACCATTGCAGTCCTGAACTCCTTGGTGCCAGTGACTGGTGCCGAGGAGAAATCTCGGATGAAGCTGTTATAGGGGGTTTCCTTTACACAACAACAGTGCTCCCAGGTGGGGGATGAAGGATGTTTCTCTGCCATTCATGGGTACCAGGAATACAGAGTCATGAACCTTTGGGAAGGCAGGAGCTAGTAGCGAAAACAGGTCTCTGGCTGCTGTGCTTTTGGAGTAGACAGTATTGCCAACTGACTAGCATGCTTTCTGTTCATACCTCTGGTGCCAGAGTCAGCAGGGCCAGTGAAGGAGCGTGACCAGCATGGGTGTGTCTATCCTGGTCCCCAGGCATGCTTGCCTTTGGCACCACTAATCGGTGGTTCTCCTATTACTTGTATTTCTTCTTGAGCACTGAGAATGCAGATGAATGTCAATACTCATTACCAGTAGGAGTGCTCTCCTCAATCACATAGTTGTGATTGTTTTCCAATGTGCATTCCTTTTCATTTATCATAATTGAATTTCATCTGCCATTTTATTGCCCACTCACCCAGTTTGAGAGATCCTTTTGAAGCTCTGCTGTGTACTTAACTATCTTGAGTGGTTTGCTGAATTGGAGTCCTAGATAGCACACAATTTGGGGTAGAGAGAATGTGTTCTACTTCATAAAGTACTGTGGAAGTATGATACTATTCAAGTGATATGCTCTAAATAATACAATAAAAAAAGCAAATAACGGGATTTTCTGGTTGTGGAACATGTGTTGTATACTACCAAGTCAGAACTTGGTATAGTACCCCAAAAATAGATATTGAAAGTCTTCTTTTAACAGAACATGGTAGCAGTGGGGAAACTTAGAATTGCTCAGATTGTTGAAAGGGTATTTCTGCAACAGTTTTATATAGACAAAATAACTTTTCCTCAAATTAAATATATCATATTTAGTAATTTTCCTGTTTCTGTAATTTGCTACCAAATAAGCATTATGTAGTAACAAGAAAACACATGCAGCATTTAAATTGATAAATCTATTTGAAGTAACTATAATTATTTATGACAGATTCAAAATCTTTGGAGAACTGCCTTTGCTCTCTGTTCAAATCTCTGACCAAAAGCTGATGGGTATCTTGGAGCTAATTGACAGCATTCCTAAACCAGAAAGTGATCCTGCTACTATGTCTGCTCCCAAACCAGCTCAGGTAAGCTAAATGTTTTACATGGTAAAGACCAGACCTTTTACTAAAATATATGGGTTTGAAAAGCAGTTTACAGTAGTTAAATGTACAACACACATTGTCTTTTAATGGGAGTTGGGCACCTCCCTCCCTTTTATGCTCCTTTGAAAATCCCATGCAACTTTCTACTACAGCTCCAGAATCAAATATAAGGTTTTTTCCCCTGTTGGTTTCTGTACTGTATCTATAGCATGGGTGCCTTATGGAGTTTAGCTTCATTAACAGTGAAATGAAGATTTTAATTTGGATACAGGTCAGTTGCTTTGCAGATGGGAATCTCTCTGCTTGTGTTCATTATGTGGTATGCTCTGTAATATACAACAGTTACTGTTCCCTACCTCCAAAAGAGACCAGAACTCTGAGTCTTTCTGCTCCCTCGTAGACTTTTGCCTTTAGAAGCAGCTTCTGCCTGACTCTTCTATTTTACCATCTCAACCATGGTCCCCATTAGAGGGCAAAGGAGGTCAACAGGCTTCTGCATGTAAAGCTGTTGAGATAATAGCATAGCACGCAATTTATTCTGGCTATATGCAGAAGTTTCAGCTCAACTGTCTAGTGATTTTCAGCTGCTGCATTTTTAGGCAGATACCGACATCTGATTGCATTGTGTTTGAGCTGAGGTTTTTGTCATTGGAGCCTTGGTGTATGTAGTGCATTTTAGCAGTATTGTGCTAATTTGTATTGTTGTAGTTTCTTTACCATAGGCTTCAAAAACTAATTCTCTTCTGTATCAATAAAAATAAACCTAGCACACGTTGGATGGATAATCTTCATCTCTGATTTGAGTGATTGCAAATATCCATTTAACATTAGGTGTGCACACCTAGTGCACCAATTTTGGAGATTTTCTATAGCAGTATCTGTCAGGGCAGATGTTACTACTCTTAGGATTGTGTCTCCTGGTTTGAGTGATACTCCTTTTCACTGGAGCATCAAAGAAATGATATCCTTTTTCTATGGGGTAGGGATGTGATAGTGTAATTGATTAACCAATTAACCGATAAGTGAAACGTTATAGGCTAATGCATAGACTACACACGTTACCCCCCTCTCCCCCCCAGTAAAGTTTTAGCAGGCTGGTGTAGCCCAGCTTGGTCCTGGCTTGCGATGGGTCCGGGACCTACCCCTATTGCAGCTCTACATTTAAACTGTATTAGGAGCCAGGTGGGCAGGCAGCCTGGCTCAGTTCCAGCTTGTGCCAAGTCCAGGAGCTCAGCCCCGCCCTCTCCCCCGTCCGAACAGGGACTGCTGCTACCCTGATACAGAGGCAACAGTGTGGGGTGGCAAGGGGCTCCTCGTCAGTGGGCTGGAGCACACTGACTGCTGGCCCTGGCCCTGGGGACTATAGAATAGTCCACTAACCAGCAAGAATTAATGAGATTACTTGACTATTCAGTTAACTGATATTTAACATCCTTACTATGGGGTCAATGAGCTAAAGGCAGATGATTTGGAAGCAGCTTCCAAAGACAAAGAATAGGGCAAAGAATACCCACCCTGCTACTAACAAGGCTTCATAATCTTGCTATCCCTTGATTGAGAATTTAGAGGTACTTGGATATCAAGGTTAGTGTGTGTCACGACTCAATCTCCACTCTGGCATTACAAATGCAGAAGGTGGGGAGCCAACTACCAGAATAAACACTGCAAAACCTCTGACTGTGGTTCCCAGAGACAAACTTATTTGATCTCCACCAAAGTGATTAAAAGAAAATATAAAATAAAAACCCTTTTCCAGGGAAGAGATCACTTGGGAATCCCCTCCCTAAGGAAAAGCTCTCCCCTTTGCTCCAACCTCTGTTTTGCTTGGAGTTGGAAAAACAGAGGGAATCCACAGACAACAATAGACTCTGCCCTTTTAACTAGGCACTTAATCCTTAGCACACAACAATCAACCAATACCAGTTAATTAAAATGAAAAGAAAACTCTTATCAAAACAAAACTACTATTGCAAGCATAATAAATTGGGTAGGTGGTAAAAAGCCATAATTGACATAATCTCAGGTAAAGTCCCTGGGCTGTAATCCCTAGTTACAAAAGAGAAAAAACAATTAACCAGCTCAGACATCATATCCAAACCCCCCCCAAACAAGGAAAACAGTAAACCCTGATGAACTATCTAAACTTTTCCCTGCTTACACTATTCAAGAAGTTTGTTCCTGGAGAGAGACAGCGTCTCCCGTCTCCCTCAATACCTGGGAGAAACTGCTCTGCTCTCAAACAAAGGAGAAAGAGAGGGGAAAAAACCCTCTCCCAGTTTGAAATTCCTATCTGCATTTTTATTGGCTGACTGACTGACTGACCCCCCCTTCCCGCCCCCCGGTCGACACCTTTGCTAGGTACCTGAGTTAACCCCTTAGTCACTGGATGTTGGTCAGCACTCCTGTTCATGAAAGAGTGCAAGACCCAGCTCGTTGTTGCCCAGTACTGATGGATAGCTGTCTCTGATTCCAATTTCAGAAGGTTAGCTATGTTAGTCTGTAACTGAAAAAGTTAGAAAATCACAAATACTCTTGCAGCACTTGAGACTAACAAAACATTGTAGATGATATCATGAGCTTTCGTGGGCACAGCCCACTTTTTCAGATGACTCCAGTGCCATTCATGCTATTGCTGAGACCATCACTAACTACTCTACTCCTTATATTGTGGAACCAGCCTCCATTTCAGCACTACCACAAAGCAGAGTGTAGTCTGTATTGTTGGTGTCAAAAGTGCCAAAGAAATGTGAGCTGACTAAGCTCTTATCTATACTTTTGATCCGATGAATGCTCTGGAGGTCAATTTTCTGGGGTTTGATTTAGTGGGTCTAGTAAGGACTCACTAAATCAAAGGCTGGAGTAAGAAAAGTTGACGGGGGGGCCACCCCAGAAATTCAGGTCACGGTACATCGACTCCATCTATGCAATTCTCATAGCTAGAGTTGCCTATCTTAAGTTGAATTTCTGGGGTAGCGTAGACCAGGTCTAAGGACCTTCTGTGCTTCTTGGTGCTGGACTCTCCATTACTACAAACTGATGTGGCCCGTTCCCTTCAGCTATACAAATTCTAAGACCATTCTCGGAATCATTATTGTTGCATACCATTGCTGCCCTGAACCCACCACCATTTTCACGTTGAAACTGACTGGGAAAAAGCCCCCAGTGCAGTTTCCAGGCAGACAGAAGGTACTAATTGCTTGTAAACATTTATTTCCTTCAGCATTGATGTCCACACATCACTTCCACTTTCAGTCCTCATTGACTCTGCCCAGAACTAGGGATGTAAGGAACTAGTTGATTAGTGGACTACCAATAAGCATATGCTTATTGGGTAGTGGTGTCAACTACTTGCTTTCCTCCATTGCTATCTCTGTGTCAGAGGCAACAAAGGGACAGAAGCAGGAGCCCGTTTTGAGGGAAGCCAGCTTAAAAGACTGTTCCCCCAGCACTGTCTCCCCACGGGAGTGGGGTTGGGGGAGGCAGAGGTGCAATGGTTATGGAGCTGGCACAAACCAGGACTGCTTAGTCCCTGCTCGTGCCGGCCCTGGGAGTTAACCCCGAAGTGACCCTGCCTTTTAAATGTAGGAAGAGCCTGGTGGGCTTTTCCTACATTTAAAAGGCAGACCACAACTTCCTGGAGCTGTTGCAAACTGAGATTGTTTGATCCCAGCTTGCACCGGCCCCAGGAGCTAACAGTTCTGCAGTTTAAATGTAGTATGAGCCATACAGGCTTGGCGTTTCAAAGCAGCAGCGCCTCACAGCTGATCCCGGGCTCAGCTATGTGACGCTGCCACTTTGAAGTACTCCCCCCCCCTTTGCTGCCTCTATCTGATAGAGGCAGCAAGGCGGGTGGGAATTTGCGCTTCCCCCCCTCCCCCCATCCTAACTCCAACATGCTATATAGCTGATGTGAGTGTGAGGTTTCACTCAGATATTCTTTCTGCTCAGTGGAGAAGAGTTGTTTTCATGTTCAAAAATTATAATGAAAAACATTTTGTGCAATGAAAATCTGACCATGCTGATTCTGGGGAAGGAATAAACAGAGCCAGAAAAAAATACAAATAGGAAATATGGAATCCTTTGGAATTCATATAGTCCTTGGCTGCAATGTGTTGTTTGTGCTGAAGTTCTTGCTCAGAATAGCATAAAACCAAGAAAACTAAACATCACTTGAAAACCAAACTAAGGATGTTAAGGACTAGTCGACTATCCAATAAGCAAATGCTTATCGACTAGTTGATGGGCCCTCGGTCAATCTGTCCTGTCAAGCCTTTTTATCTGGCCCTTGGGAATGAAGCAGCTCCATGCCACTCAAAGTGGCTGGCTGCTTCATGTGGCTCTCTGCACTGCTTACTAGATGGGAGGAGCCTTTGTGCATTGTCCCCTGCACAGTCTCTCTGCACCTATTGCCTGAGAGGATTGTGTGGAGGTGGGGACAGGGAGCAAAGCCTCCTCCTCCCCGGTACATGGCACGAAAGAACCACATGGAACAGCCAGACACTTTGAGTGGTCTTGGGCTGCAAGCTGCTGGCAGGGAGCCTGCCTGAAGGTCCCGTTGGGCTGCTGGCCAGGAGCTGCCTAAGTAGGTGGCAGCAAGAGAAGGGGGAAGCAAGTAGTTGAGTAGTGACTCCATTATGCAATAAGCCTAGACTTATCGGGTAGTTGACTATTTGACTAATCATTTAAATGCCTATCCTGCATTCTAGTCTCCTATCCCAAGCTCCCTTCTGCACCCAATTTGCCTCCATAGAAAAGTGTGGCCCTTGAACACTTACCAAATTTTGGTATGTCTCCCTCCCCTCCCCCCCCAATGAAAAATTATTGCCCACCCCTTGGTTAGGAGGTGCTGACTTGGCATCAGCACACTGGTATGTTCTGGTAATGTGATTTGAGGGACAAAATCCATGTGTAATGAAAGCAACAGGCTCTTTCTGAAGGGAAATTCTAATTTTATCAACAGTATTTTGAAGAAACAAGAAAAAAATTACTATGGCCCTTATTTTCTCTTACTATTTTAATTTAATTTAAAAATCTGAAGAAATTCACTAAAAGCTAAAAATGAAGTGCAGACTGTGGAAGTGATTAAATTTAGGGGGATCTGGAGGTGAGGTGGGCTCCCGTACTACTTTCAGAGCCACCTCACTTGGACGTATTCAAAGGCTCCAAGGAAGCTGTGTTTTCTTTCCCATATACTCATGCTTTGTGCCTAATAGTAGGGCCAAAAGCTGCAGCAAAAGAAGCTGTCGCAGGTAACACCACCCTATTGTGAGGTGGGAAAAAGTCAGGGTGAATTGAGGGGATTATCTGCTGAGAGAGGGAGACTGCTGGAGCAATCAGACTCCTTTATGTCATTGCAAGGGGAAAGAGGATGGCAGAGAACAGGAGCTGTCGCTACAAGGGACCCATGATTCAGAGGGACAACAACCCAGCCATGCCCTTTCTAGGAGTTCTGCACTGGATCTGCATCTTCTAGATAGAGAAGTTAGAGTAAAATGTGGACAGAGATGAAGGGTGGAGGCAGGGGTGTTAGACGCAGAGAAGAACAAGAGAGCTAGGGAGTGCTGAGTAGGTGCAGAAGGCTGGAGGAAAAGCCACAGGGTAGAGGTGGGAGTTCTTGGCAGGGACAGGATCACAAGGCAGATGGGAATGTAAGGGGTAGTGGCAGTTATAAGGGATGTTTGTGTGGGCACAGAAGGGAAAATTATTATGAGGACATGAAGTGGAAGGTGTGAGGGGTATTGATAAAGGAGATGGGGGAAATTAGGATTGGGCAGAAAGGACAGACAGAAAAGGAAAGGTATGGGTAAGGGAGGAGGCAGGAGCTAGGTCCTCAATATCCAGGGACTTGGGGGGCTGATCATGTAGCACTTAAGAGCCTTCAGCTCTCCACAGCACGCACTTTGTCTTGGCTGTTTGGACACAGGTCCTACCCATCTTGATCCCTGAAGCACTTTGCTGATGGGCTGGGGTCAGGACGAGAACATAAGTCTGCACCCTATGAGTATTGGCCCATACCAGGCAGAGCCCCATTTTGACCCTTTGCCACTCATTGTGGCCCCATGTACTACTTCTGCTTTGCTGACTTCACTACCAAGGGAGCCTGCCCACAGTTTCAAAACTTTTCATTTAAGATGTTATTTTTAGCAGTTAATTAAAAATAATTCCTATGGAAAAATTTCTTCCTCATTATTGCAAAATCGTAAAATACATACATATAGTTGTCTGAAATTGCTGTATTCAGTCAAAATGGATAGAAAATTGAATTAACATATTTTTAAACATGTTTTTTGTTTCAGATTTCAGTAACTCCTCTGATTTTAACACCACAAGTGTCTCAAAATGTACTTCCTCTTTTGGAACTTCACTCGTTAACTGAGTCAGGTAAATTATTTTAGAGCACGTTTTCTTAAATAGGTACTATAATATCTCAATAGAATGATCAAATTAAGTGTAGTATTTCTGTGAATTTTAAAAATCTAAAGATGGTGAAAAGTAAACATAAGACACTTCAATATAATGTGGCATTGCAGAGCAAAGTTACTATTTTGAGATTCAGTTCATGTTGTGTATAACCTTCTTCCCCAATTGAAGATTCAGATGGCGTGGAAGAAGTGATAAGTTGCTAAATGTTTCTCGCATACTGAAAATCATAATTTCCATTGTATGTTCATTAAACAGCAATGGTGCTGGGTTTTTTGCTGTTTCCATTTTTATGCTTTGGATATATTGGATGACAGTGTTCAGGTGTGAGGGGGTTTAATTTGCCTTTTACTTTCTATTAAATCAAAATTTGTTTTAATGGCCAAAAAACATTCATGAGACTGCATAAATAACAAGTTCAAAATGTACAGTGCGTTCATGGATTGCTAATTGGAAGCTTGTGGGCAGCAGAGTTTTAGCTTTTTTTTAAAAGAGCACTGTGACATGGAAACACATCTGAGGTAGAGTAAGATGATATTCATGCAAAAAAAAATCATGGTTCTGCTGAAAATACTCTTGCTTAAGGCTTCCCCATTCTAGCTCATTTTTTTCTGAATGATACTGCAATGAAATAATGATTATAGAAGTGATCATCATGTGAAAAATAGAGCATCGAGTCTTCTGCAGGATCAAATAGAAGATGTCCGATGGGAGAGATTACTTCTGAATATGTATGTTCATAAGGAGGTTATGAAATCTCATGTATTGATTACATTTATTTTTTTTAGTTATGTAGGCTAATGTTTTTTCTAGTATTAGACTTCCTTATACATAAAAAGATCATCAATAGAAAAATAACATCTGACAAGGTTTATTTACTTTAATATATTGTATATGTAATTATTTTAACAGGATTAGAGGAAAATGTAGTTCTTTTAAAATAATTTACACTGAGTTCTTTCAGTGCAGAATGTAGTTCAGTTCTCCAGTAGTTTGTGTGTGGATTATTCACACATGACAACAGTGGAGAGTAAAACATTTTTAAAAAATTACAAAAGATGAAAGAGACCAAGAGCAGATGTATCTGTAATCACTTTTAACTTAAAAAAAAAAAAAAAAAAAAAGATTAGATTTCAAATTGGTAACCTGTCTTTCTGGTTTTCCTTTTATTACATCTGTGGAACAGTTTGATCATTTATACATTTGATAGTTACTTAGCTATTATTTTAATTTTATTCCTGTGTTTTGCTTTAAATGTTTCATTTAGATCTCCTGTCACATACATATCTTCTTCATATAGCATATAGTCACTCTTGTCAAATAATGGCATCTCCAAATACACTCGGAGCCCTTTAAAAGTCTCAACCTTAGCATTGATGGTGTCTAATTTATTTATGAGATAATTTTATCATACTCCTACATATATGGTTTACATTTCAGAGAAGTTTAGTACTATATTATTGCAAAATAATTGTTTAGTGATATTTAAAATTTCATGAGGTGATCATTAATACAACTTTAGATTTAGAATCAGAAGAAGAATTTTATGATGCCCCAACAAGTCCTGTGGAGGAGATGCCATTTTTTGAAGCCTCTTCTGGCTCTCTGACCAGAGTTCACAGTGTGAGAAGAAGGAGGTTACAGAAGCAAGAATCTTTGAAGAATATGACAGAATTCCAGCTAAGATTTGAAATATCTGAGGTAATGTAACTTTTTTTTCTTTCTCCTTAATATAGTCTTGTCTGCCTGTAGCATCTTCACAGCCTGGTGCATGTATTAGGAATGTAAACGACTACTCAACTATCCAATAAGCATAACTTATTGGATAATCAAGTAGTGACTTGACTAGTCACGCGCCCCTCCTCCCCTTGCTCCCTCTATCTTGGGGGTAGGGAGGCGCAGCGGGACTCTTGTACATTTCAAAGGCTGAAGCGCTGCAATGGGAACACAAGGCCAGTGGGGACTGTTTGAGTCCCTGCTGCCCCCTTTGTTCCTCTCCCCCCCCCCCCACCCCCCTGATGCCTCAATGAGAGGCAGCAAGGGGGGAATAGGAGTTGGTGCTGGGGAGAGTCATCTTAAAAGCCATTTCCCCTCCAGCACTGTCTCTTGTATGCCACCTATGTCGTTCCCATCCCCCCCCGCGCTGCCTCTATCAAGGGCAATGGGGGATAGGGGAGGCTGCTGCAAAGCAGCCTTTGTCCATGGGTCCAGCGGGGCGCTGCCCCCCTTCTCTCCCCCCCACCTTCCCC